CCGGTGCCCCTCAAAACGGCCCAGCCCAACTCATTATTGTCCCTCTAACGGTTGGGTCTCTTTCTCCATTCTCTCTTCAAAGCCTTTTTGGGAAACAAAACAAAACAAAACGCAAAACCAAAAAGAAAAAAAAAAACATCCATGCTGTGCCCCTCAAAATGGCCCCGTCCTTCCAAAAAAATAATAAAACAAGGGGTAAGTTTCAAAAGTAGCGCGTAGTGGTAGTTTGACAGCAGAAATATTGGCAGGGCCCAAGTTTGGTTGCAAAAATATATATTTCTTTGCAGCTTTAGAGGTCCCAGTAGTTTCACAGCAAAATTATGTACTGACGGGGTCCCACTTTCCTTGCAAAAATTAGATCTTTTTGATCCGTTCTGCAGCGGAACCTCCAAAATGCGCTATTTCTGCAATTACCCTTAAAAGAAAATGGCCCGGTCCAACTCAGGGCGCGCTCACACTGCGTACCCAAAATCGTATCAAAATGGGATTTGTGAGGAACGAGCCCTCAAGTGGCCTTATCAAACATCACATTGTTCTGGGCTAAGGCCCCAGCAAGCCAAGTGCCCGCCCTAAGTGAAGGTGGGCCTGAATATTCCTCACAGGCCAAATTCGACATTTCCATATGTGGGTATTCAGGCTCTCGCAGCGCGTCAGTTGGTTGAGTGAACGCGCGAGCCTCACTAAGCTGCGTCGTACAGTTGGCCCAGGCCACGAAAGTTGTGCCTGGGCATATACACACAAAGCAGGGCCGATACATTGAGAAGCAGGCCGTCGGTCTTTGGGAAAAGCAGTACTGCCGACGCATCTATCCGGGGCCCCTGCGCAGATACAGCCAACAGCTAGGCCGTGCCCAACTGAAAAGGGCCCAGGCCCTCAACTGTAAGTCTCGGGTCTGGGCACAGGGTCTGGGGCCCAACCGGATGCTTCTGGAAGCTTCCAGCCAGGCCACACGCAGCATCCAAGAGGCTGATCGCCTGCTCCTCCGCGATAGCCTTTAACTTCGCCTGCTTCTCGCGCTCATTCCTCTCCCTGTTCTCTTTCACTAAGGCCGCCATCTTCTCTTGCTGCTCCTTGGTGTAGGGGCTAGTGTCTATCCCCCTACGGGTCTCAACCATGGTGATAAGTGTACAACCAGATTAGTGGTTCCAAACCTCACCACGTAGACTCTGACCCTTGACTGACAAACCTATAGACTCAATCTAAGACTCACAGAATCCGGACAGGGATCCTGCCAACTATGGTCTCTAGCCTGGACCTAACTATGCTGTCACTACTAGACCTGTTGCTGATCAGGAGGCGTTTAAGGAGATCCCCCGAACTCCTCAGGAATTATTTAACGTCGCAGACAGCACGACGCGATCAGCACGTCTCTCAAGACTTAGACGGTCTGTTGTGCAGCCCACAACTCGGATTTCGAGGCCTACCGTGCCACACCAAGCAGCCCGCCGGTCAGTACCGGTCCTTAGGAGGGTTTGACCTCCGGGACAGTCGAGTCGTCAGACACGGCTTTTAGCCCTACTAATCCCGTGTGGGTTTGGCCAACAAGACCCTATCCTTCATCCACAGAGTACTATCACCTAGGACAGAAGAGACTCGATGCAGAAAGAATAGACAGACAGACTGGACTCAGCAAGTACCACGGGGTGTGTGCACATCCATAGGGCAAGGGATAGGCTGAGGGCTTAGCGAGATGTTACCAACTCCAGCTTGGTCAAAGTCTAAGTCAACGCCTTGGTCAACGACTTTGGTCAACGCCGGTCAAAGCTGCTATCAGCCCCCGGTCAACTCCGGTAACCGCCAGTCAACGCCTCCGGTCAACCCTCTTGGTCAACCCTCCGGTCAGCTATGGCTGCCGGCTCGTCTTCCTCGCCAACCCTCTTCTTCCTCTCGCCTTCCTCACCTCCTTTCACCCCGGCTGTCTTCTTCTTCTCGTTCTCTTTTTTTTTTTTTTTTTTTTTGATCGGCCTTCCCTTTACTTCTCGGCTATGGCCTCCTTCTCTCCCTTCTCAGTCTCTCCCCCTCTGTCCGGCCTCTCTCCCTCCTTCACTACTCCGTGGTGATGCTCCGCGGCTATGGCCGCTTCTTCTTCCTCCGCGTGGAACTGCACAGCTCGCTTCACATGTAAGTGACAACCAAACTTGTATCGCTCATCTCTCTCTCTCTCTCTCTCTCTCTCTCTCTCTCTCTCTCTCTCTCTCTCTCTCTCTCTCTCTCTCTCTCTCTCTCTCTCTCTCGCACGCGCGCGGGGTAGCGATATCTCTAGCGCAGCAGGTACGTAGTAACTCAATCTTGTATCGCTCAACCTTTCCTCTCTCTCTCTCTCTCTCTCTCTCTCTGTCTTCTTCTTCGTCGTGGTCTTCTTGCAGGTGCGAGGCGGCTTCTCCAACCTCAGGTCCGCTATGGCGGACTATGCCCCTCGGCGGCCACCTCTGCTATGGCGCTTCGGGCCCTGCACACGACAGCGCGCATGGAATAGCGGGTACCAACTCCGATACCAATGAAATCAGACTCGTCTCATTCACACTTTTCATGCATGTAAACAGCAGCGCAGCAAACTGGCGACATGAGCCCACTCAATACTCAGAGATATGGCATCCAGATAAGAGTTCACTTTCAACTGGCTATGGCGACTCAGCGCCCAAACAACTCACTGTTCACACACACCGGATCACCCTGGATATCCCACACGCGTCACTCTGAACTCTCACGCACACACACACACACTTCACACTACCTACAGCTACGGAAGCTATGGCTGCCTCTACCCTATCGCTATACTAAGTTCCTTCTCTCTCGCCCACTGCGTCCTCCGGGCTCACTGCAGACCTCCTTGCACAAGTCGCTATGACAGCGCTTCCTCATGGCTCACGCAGGAATGAATCAATGGCTGTGCGCTGCCTCTTGATTTCTACTTCGGAAACTCGTTGGTCTGCCCTTCGCCATCGGCCCATGGTGCTCACAGTCCCCCGTGGTACTCGCTGGACCGGACTGGGACTGACTGGACCTTACCGCTGACTGACTGTGGACTCACTGCTATCCTACCGTCGTCGTACTGCAATTGCACTGCAGTTTGGTCCACCACTTGCCTCGCCACTTGACCACTTGCCCACTTGCCTACCTTCTAGAAGGACTACAGCTAAGCTTCTGGAACTCCCTAAGACTTCTACTCTATAGGTCTACAGATCGAACCCCTGCTGTGTATGGACCTACGACAGATCTACCAACTGTCTACGAATACACAGGTCACAGGTTCAACTCTCGGGGTCTACACAGATACTGTACATGAGTAGGGTGAGGTCTAGGGATCGAGCCCTGGGTACTGCATCTGCTACTGCTAAAAGGTGAAAACCGTTTCAAAACTTCAAAATGTGACTGAAAACAGTTTGAATCTTCAACTTTCTTCAGAAAAAGAGAGAATTCAGACAAAATAATCGGCAGCAGCAGTTTGAGAAGGGAACTTGTTCTCAAGACGCAGATCTGTCCAAGCAACTATTTCAATAAAATGACGAGGTAGGGAGGTGTCAAACGACTTCAGAAGAGAGATTAACCGGTTATGAACACACAGACAAGCTAGAGACAAGAAAATTCAGACAAAACATAATCCCATAAAACTTAAAAGTAGATGTATTCCTGAGAGATCTGAAAAAAAAATTAGTGCACTGATAGAAACTCGACGAACTCGTCCTTTTGGACAATGTCTGACTGGGGCAAATTTCAAAATTTCAGCGGCCTTCTCTTCTCAACGAATATATTTAGCTTTCCGCCCATCCCCCCCCCAAAAAAAAATCAATACTCTTATCTGATTTTCGAAAGAAAAAAAAAAACGAATTTCAAAATAACAACGAGAAAGAACCAACTTGTAGCATCAACTAAGTCAGGAAAAAAAAAAGAGACAACTGCGCCTGTGACTGCTGCACAGTTCAGAATTCGCAGAAATAACAGTCCACTGCAAGATTGGGCAGTGAGCAGTTCGAAACAGCAAAAAAAACAGTGAATCGTGCGTTAGACGGCCTACCGGTTCGATAATGGGCAAAAACGGGAGGGCCTGCTACGGGTACCCGTTAGCACAGGCCACCTCCCGTTTTTGTCCATTATCGAACCGGTAGGCCGTCTAAAGCGCAGTTCACTGTTTTTTTTGCTGTTTAGAACTGCTCACGGCCCAATCTTGCAGTGGACTGTTATTTCTGCGAATTCTGAACTGTGCAGCGGTCACAGGCGCAGTTTTTTCAAAAAAAAAAATCCAAATGTGGAAAAAATAAGAAGCTCAACGTTGTGTGCTAGAACCCCATACCACTAACCCCTTGGTCGCACTACGTCTGTGTACTTCCTTCCCAGCTGTACAAATGGTTACTTACATCTCTGATGGTGAAAACCCACCCGGTCAATTTGTCAAAGAAGTAGTAGATGTCAATTTGTCAAATCTACATGTCCGGTGTCTCCATCGTCCTCATAGCAAAACTCCTGCCAAACACTGACAGTCTTCAACATGCAAGGCCATGTCCACACTCTGTCTGCAACCAGCATAGTCACATGAACATGAGCTTGTTCTCTGAAAACTGGCATATGGAAATCCATCCTCAACCACAGCTCCGCACGACAATGGGCAGCAACTACAGTCTACAGTTGAACAGGAGGAGGCTAGGAAGTTTACAGCAACAGTTATTATAATCACTGACCGACCACTGGCAGCTCCTCCACCAAAGAAGGGCAGTAACTGTTATACAGTCAAGCATCCTGCCAGATCAAATATGACACCATCATGACTGGCTGAATTAGATCCGTGTATCCAAAACAAGAGAACTTTCCCATGACCTCCACTGGCTGTATTGTCACTAGTGGGCCTACAACGAATATGTTAACTTTCTGACAGACACACCGGTCCACCAACATTCTACTCGTTCCCCGTGGACGCTGCAAGCTCTACCTTGCCTGCAACTCCCTCCAGTTCAGCTAGAATGCCTGTGTTGGGTGCTGCCATGTCCGGCCGCTTCCTTCTGTTGTAGCTGGTGCAACGCAAACCCAAACATGCCACTCAATGAGCCAGAACAATATTCCAACAGCCTGCACTGGGATCCAGAGCATTCTCAAAAGCATCGTCATCTTCAATGGCATCCTCAACGACTTCAAATGCATTTGTGAAATTTCCAGTCAGCATCTCCAGCAGAGTGATGCCAAAGGCAAAGACATCGGTCTTCTCACTGAAAGCTCGGGACTGCCAGTACTCTGGAGCGATATAGTGAGAGTTTTGTTGTGCGAAAAGCTGGGAGGTCCTGTTAAGTGTTTTCTCGACTCCTTCGGGAAACTCTGAGTTAAGCAGTGCACGATCAACACCACCGAGCTTTGCGACAAATCTGTCATCCAGAAAGATGGTTGCTGGTCTGATGGCAGAGTGGATGATGGGACCACCAGTCCCCAGCGGATCTGAATGGAGGAAGCACAATCCTCTTGCAACCTCTGCCATTACGCGGAAGCGAGCATACCATGTGCTTTGTCTAGCACATGAGATCCAATCTTTCACAGTTCCTCGTGCCATATACTCGTAAACAAGACAGCTCTCTTCATAACAGACACCAAGCAGTGTCAAGATATGAGGATGTCGAAGCAATCTCAACCTATCGACCACCTTTGACTTCATCGTGTCATGATGGACCCCCTGCATACTTGCATCCAATATCACCTTCTTCACCATAACAAGAGTGTCATCATTCAGTTTCCCGCGATAGACACGTTCGTGTTGATCCCCATGTTCAAGCTTCCACTTCGCATCAAAATTCTCTGTAGCAACCTGGAGTTCCTTGCCTGAAAACTCTTGGAGCACTGGAACACACGTCGTCTTCGCATCACCAACCTCTTAATTTCTGCTCCAATTGCCTAACTTTCTCGGCGAGGATGGCTCTCTCAGACTCCAGCATAGAGAATCTATGCTCTACATGTGCTTTGGACTTGGTGTGTTCCTCTGCTTGTCTTTCTCTCTCAGACACAAGCTGAGAGATCTTATCTGCTAAACGTGCCTTGGACTTGGTCTCTTCTTGCAACTTGCTCTTCACCCCCTGAATCTCCTGTTTTGACCCCTCCAACATCCCTACCACTGTTTGCATTTCTTTCTCCAGCTTCTGGACCCTCTGACGCTCTGCATTCAATTCTTCGAACACTTGCGCAATCTTCTTCGTTTAACTCCATCAGAGAAAAGGTTACTTGAACTACCCAGAACTCTCCCTTACCGCCAAGAACAAGCAGGTTAGAGTTCTCACATGAACTCATCCTCCAAACCTCCCCATTCCATGGACAATTGTAGGACAGGACTTGCTGGTAGTGCGAGTTACTCCAGACTTTAATTTCTCCATCACTTGCTGCAGTGAAGATATATGGCAAGCGCGGATGAAAAAAGGCAGATCATACTTCTTGCTTGTGCGCTTCCCATTTCAGTATGCAGACTCCCCTCTCATAGTCCCAGACCCACACACTCCATTCTCCCGTGCGTGATGAGATCAGAAGAGACTTTTGGAGCCCAGTGCCGAATCCCAGTCGATATATCCACCCCTCGCCGCTGTCCTTCAGGGTTTGGACAACAGACCTTTTTTCCAAGTTCCATACCTTGATTTTATTTTCATCCGCGCCTGCAAGGATCTGTGGCTCCGTTGGATGAAACGCCACTGGAATTACTCGAGTGGAATATCCTTCAAATGTTACCTTCTCCCATTCAGGGTGCCACCGCCACATAAAAATATTTTTCTGACCTTCAAAACTAGCCAACAAACAAGGCAAGGTCGGATGGATTGCCATTTGAAAGCTCAACTTGTCATCACTTTCTGTGGTTAGCACCTTTATACACCGCAAGTTCGACCCTTGCGTTTCACACACCTCAAATCTTTTCCATCGCCTCACCAGAATCCAGTCTTTCTGCGCGATGAATGCAACTCCGTCGGCATTTGTCACATCAGGGATTACCCAAGAGGCGACCCGTGTTCCGTCCTCATAGTTCCACACATGCACTGAGTTGCACTGAGTTGCCGTTATGATCCATAGCTTAATAGGATGCACATCAAAACGCAAATGATATGGGCTACCACCATCCAAAATGTCTTTCCCTTTCTTCTCAAATTTTGGAACAAGTCGAAGCTCACCTTTTCCATAACCATCCCCCATGAGCATGACAGTTTGGGGAGACTCCAATTATTGCTTCCGCCAGCAGGGCCCCCGGTAATCAATTGCCTGCCAAGTAGTACTCTTTATCCGTGCTCAACCTTCCAGTCACGTCACAAAAAGAAATTCGTAATTATAGCAGACAGAACAGAACAAACTCATCGTCAGCAGTTTAACACCGGCCAGGGTTCGGCCAGAGTTTGGCCGGACACCAAACTCTTCAGTCTGTGAATAAGTTTGGGTTTGATAATCATAAACGTTCGGTCCACTTTTTTTATTCATTATGGATAATTGTCATTAATTGGTGATGTACTTTTTATCATTGGTTACTGTTTATTTGCTGATTATTTAATATCTATCTGTATTTAAATCACCACTACCTCTTGCCGTCTTTTCACCCAACCTGAATTATGGTGCGTGCGCTCCGGTTTGCCGAGCCTGGAGTGTGAAGGGTCCCATTCAATTTTTATTTTCTGGTACCCACATAGAAACCGATTTTTTTGGGGAGGGGGGGCGCAAAAGAAAATGAATTCTTTTTTTTTTTTGGCGCAAAAGAAAATTTGAGTTTGCGCCTGCGGTGGAAAAAAAAAAAGAAAAACAAAGAAAGCTTCGGACTGTGAAATAGGTTGGATAGTATGGATCATACATTGTGTAAGGAAAGCCGGATCTACACCAAGACTGTGTTTTTCCTCTTTTTTCCTCTGATGTGCAATGCTGTGCAAAACTTGTGCAAAACTTGTGCAAAACTTGTGCAAAACTTGTGTATGGGAATGTCTGTTGCTAGTGGTAATTGGAGCATATAGTATAGTAGAATGCGATATGGATATTCTGCAATATTCTACAATATTTGCTCTTTTTGAGGTCATTGTAACTTCGCCTGTGGGTTCGGCCGGTGATGCCGTCCCATTGGAGGAGCGCAACAACATTGTTAAGGGACTCCGGGCCCGGTTCCCGACTTTCGACTTTTATTTCTCATAAAGAAGTTCTTTTCTTTTTTTTTAAAAAAAAAGAAAAAAAAGAAGTGTGAGTACGCCCTCAGTGAGGGCGGTTCAGCGACGAGGTGAGATTCAGAAAAGCAGAAACAAAACAAACAAAAAAAAGGAGGACACAGATTTGGCCGTGAAAGCGAGCGGACACATTTCCTCAAGTGGCAGTGTGAGTATGCCCTCGGTGAGGGCCTTTGTGTATAAGGCGGAACATGCCCCTGCCTAAGCTGCCTTGCCTCGCCTGCACAGGAACAAAAAGGAGGAAGAGAAAACACAAAATAAAAACATCTGCAACTCGCACTAATATTGGTAAGATACATTCTGTGAAGTGCCCCGACATCATTGATTCTGAGGCAGTTCTTTCTTTCTTTCTTTTTTTCTTTTTCCATTCGCTTTTTTGTTTTCATGCATCGGACCCCAAGCCCCCAATTTTTTGGACGAGGCTCAACTTGCAACTTCGTGCTTTTGCCTGTGAAAGGTAGTGGTGGTCACAGACTTCCCGCCCAAGTGGCCCCTTTCTATTCCGTGGGGGTGACAGTCTGACAGATAAGCAGAAATGCCAGAGGGGCCTGTTGCAGGGCCACACGATGCCCAGCAGCCCAAGCACCAGCTTGGGGACCGTGCTGAAGACTCGAGTCCAAGAAGGGGAAAGGTCAGCAGTCTGCGCCACAAGACAAAGAGAGAGAGAGAGAGAGAGAGAGAGAGAGAGAGAGAGAGATTGATTGATTGATTGATTGATTGATTGATTGGTGGGGGAGGGGTCCTCCCTCCCCCCCCCG